CGCTGGCAATAGCTAGTTTATAATATTGATAAGAACAACATTATTTTCTTAAAGGTTTTTTGGATGATGTAAGTAATAATTATTTAGAAATAAGACATGATTTAAATGATCCATAAGTAATTCTTATATGCTACTTGATTTAGCGCGCGACTCTGTCATCATGGAATTTAAAAAACAGAAGTAGGCTATGTGCTCTTCCAGACTGTCCTCTACATCTATGCTAATATCGACTTTCGTTCAACAGTTCAGGCTACAAACTAACAAAACTTTATCCATCTAAACTTTCGCATTTATAATACAGTTTGGCTTTTTAAAATCTGTATTGATAATAGCAACGCTACTTTTAATTATTCTAAAGGGACGACTGAAATTAATAAGGATAAGGGAAAGCCATATTTTATGATTCTAGAGAATCTGTCCCTTGAAAAGATTTGAATAATGTAGCTTGAATAAAGAAAAGATAATCTTCTACCTATTATGCTAGGGGTTTCGACATTTTATAATAAAAAAGTTAAGTAAGAAAAGGATCCTTGTAATTTAAAAAGAAAAAAACTAGTAATTTTTACCAACCTTCATGTAAAAATGTAAACTAGTACCATTGAGAAAATCTTCTTAATTTGCCGAATACATACACTATTTACAATTATTAGTCAAATTGCATATAATAAAAACGATGTTCCATTGTTTGCTTCACATCTTGCACTCGCATTCGCGCCTAAAATCCTTGTTGTTTTTTTAATACAATTTTGTCTATTGCTTTCTTAGCGGCCAGTTATTAAATATTCTTCCATAATATTTTAGCAACTTAAACAATTACAATTTTACGATTAACTGCCATTTAAAATATGTAACTATTTAATAGAAATATCCTTTTAATTTTAATTTAATGAAAACATATTTACAATGTTGTCAGCGCCATCTGTTATCAGTTATTGCTCAACCACTATATGAACATCGATAATTGTTTAGAAGTTTTCTTAGTTTATGTTATAAAAACTATATCTATTTCTATCTGTTTAATAATTTTGTCAGTACGATGTTAGGTCTAATTATTATTTCGCTATTTAGTTGTTATTATAATGTAGGTTAATTAATATTTTGGATAACGCTTGCGCTCGACGTGCATTACCTAACGTTGCGTAACCAACGATCAAAATCACTCAGCCGTGGTTTATCGCGATTCATTGTACAATAATTTACTATTGAATAAACAGTTTGAAAATGTCTGCATTATATTGTATTGTAGAAAAAAAGTTTGTCATACATAAATCGTATTTTCCAGTAACGTTATTAATTATTCGATCATTATTATTAAATATTTTATTACATTAATATTCAAAACACTTATAGTTCGTATTGTGAAGTTAAATGCGTGAGATTTTTTATATTCAAGATATATTATTTTGTTTTTTCTTGTTGAATTATCTGAGCCCAGTTTCGAATACAAAGGGCATTCAACTCTGTCACAACTTCAAAAAGGTTTATTAAAAGCGAGGCTTTGTGACTCAATTGCTAAGATATCATCAACTTTAACTAAAAAATGTTTAAACTTTAAAATATTTTAAACTATCTGTTCCCGTGCGACTTCATCCGCATAAAATTAAGAAAATTTAATTTTATTGTTTACATGTGACAAATTGTCAATTGGATATCAAAATGACATGACATGATGTCAAACCATGGCAACCTTGATTCCTTGATGTTGGCAACAACTTATGGTTTCTTTCCCACATTAGGGTTTTTATCCAAAATATTTACCCCCTAAGTTTAATAGCGTGAAAATATATAGCCAAAAGCGTGACCTAAGTGTAGGGCTTTTTATTAAATAAGAATTATTCAAAAATATGTTGTAATTGCTGACATCTTGGGCAACAAAGAAGTGTGTGTTTACGCTTTATTAAAATATAAATAGTATAGATAAATAATGATATTCGAAATCGAGATCATTATAACGAAAGTATGAACGAAGATAAATGTAAAAAGAATATCTATATATGAAAATATTTTTCATTTAAATTTTCAGTATTCATACGGATTTCTAGTAGAATTTCATTGAAATGAATGTTAGTTTGTAGAGTGGTGTAAAATATTTATGCTTTTTTATTTTTCAAGCTTTGATATAAAAGTAATATTTAGTTTTAAATCTGAACTCGAATTCAATGCGAAATATGTGTGATAAATGAGAATGTTCTGTTTTCTCACAGTTAATGTTTCTGATAAACATTGCATAGGAATATTTTAAGATGTTTTGCGTGTGCTTTCGATGTATAGTTTATTTATGGTTTATATACTAACTTTCGTCCGCGTGGAATTAAAAAAAACAAAATAAAGTAGCCTATGTGTTCTTCCAGACTGTCCTCTACATCTATGCAAAATTTCATCGAGATCCGTTCAGCAGTTCAGGCTACAAACTCTAACAAACATCTATCTAAACTTTCTCGTTTATAATATTAGTAAGATGCAATATCTAATATTTTTGTAATGAAAAAAATTGATTTTATTAATTTTTAAATTGATTGTAATGAAAGTGATATTTAATCTATTCTGGATTCTAACGTTATCCTTAATGTTTTTTTTTCAACGCAAACGTTTTTTCGCGACATCAAGTTATGTAAAAAAGTTATACGTTTCAGATATTTACCGAAACACGTGTTTGAAATAATTTATGTTTAGAAAATTCAATTTGCGTGGTTGCGCGCTTCTCATATATTACTTTAATGAAATACATTTTTTTCTTGTCTCATTCCGCGGCCGCAGACATGTGTGCCTCAAATTGATATTAATGCTTCGTTCCACTAGCGTTAAAACTCGTAAAACGAAATGCTAGTACTTTTAACAATACAGTTTTGGATTTCTAATCATTTGATCTTTTTAAGCTATTAATTTTTCGATAAAAGATTTGACGCAAATCTAAAAAGGTTCTTATAAATTAACACATGTACAGTATTCAAATAAGAAAATAACATTTTTTTCAATTTTAAATGTAAGTCTTGTTTCAACATTAATTTATGTCACGCGCTTGCAGATTGTATCCTTTGGAATAAAATTAATTGTTGGTAAGTAAAGCGGAACATTTTATACCGAGGAGAGAGAAATACACTCTTTAGCATATTTTTCCTTCCTATTATATTGCGTTTCCCTCCTTCGTAAAGGTAGGCAATGCATCTGCGATTAGGGGTGTCTTGAGGCAATGGTCGTTTCGCCATTTCGGGAATTCCACCATATGATAAAAAAACATTTAAATTGACACTTCAACGTTTAAAGCAAAATATTGAACTTTTCATATTTATTGTTACTTTTAAAAACTTGTAATCCACAATTAATTCACGGATTTACTGGTTTTTTATTCTTAAAAAATTAACTAGAGGTCCCTTCGTTATCCCTGTTAAAGCCAATTTATTGTCAAATACGAGGGACGGCTTCGGATACTTCTGACCTCCAATTAAGGTTTTTTTTCGTGATATGCTATTTGAAATGTAAAACTTTCACGAGCTTTTAGTCGAAATAAATTTTTGTTTTTCAGTAGTTTTTGGCTTTAGAGGTAGGCTTTTCCAAAATGTATATTACAAAATACATATATCTACTAGTAAAGAATTTGAAAAAAACATTTCAACATTACTTTCATATTAGCTTTCACCCCCGACTCCGTCTGAATGGACAATAACCTACATCAACGCCTAATTTCATCAAAATCCGCTCAGCAGTTTCGACTACAAACTCTATCAAATACCCTCTATATATCTTTTTCGAGTTTATTATTTTATAATATATTTACTTGTAAACACTAGTAAAATGAGGCTTAGTGTAACAATAAACACAACATAGCATTTATGGCCGGTTTCCTTGGTAAATTTAAACATTCTTTAGTGTTTTTGTTTCGATTATCAAGTGCGTTTCCGAACGAGTTTTACTCCGTTGAAACTTGGACAATAATACTAATTAATATGATACTAATTTATATTATGATAAAATAAATGGAAACTTCAGAAACCCAGCATAAGTTCGGAATTGGATTTCGAAATTACCAGTGTACGCTCCGTACACAAGTCATCAGAGAGCAATCAGTGTTGAGTGACGTTAATTGACCAGCTTTCAGCTGAGAAATCAAACTGACGATTTGTATTGCATTTAGTTACAATATACTATGCACGGAGACAAGAAAAAACCATTTACAAAGCCTTTTTTAGGAGATGAATCGTGTTATATATATCTAAGCATACAATAAAATTTTAATGTCTATAATATCACAAGAAACAAATTCCAGATTTCTGGAAGATGATGGACTTGCGTTGCTGATAACGAAATTCGCATTTAAAATTCTTTTCTTTGTCTGTCTGTCCGCACGTCGCGTTTTTCAGTAGATCTCCGAAACGGCTGGGCCGATTTCGACCGGACTTTCACTGAAGGGTAGCTGACATAGACGGGCATATTATTGGCTACTTTTTTATGTTAATATTGCGTGAAAGTCGTGGGCAACAGCTAGTAGATAGTCATAATTAGGAAGGGAGTAACTGAAGTGATGATAGATCGATTTTTATATTCAATCTTACGCTGAGTGGATGATCCCCAACTCCTAGAGGTAATGATTTTATGAGAGGATTTAAAAGTATGCAACTTTGTGTACTTGTATATGAAGTAAATACGAGAAAGTAATTGTACTATTTCTAGTTTAAACATGATTCTTTATCTTAATGCATTTTGGCTACATTAGTCATAATGTTATCAATAATTTGACTCATAAGTATTTTTCCTGTTTATTTTGTTTGTGGGATTTCCAAGTTTTTTAATTGGTTAAGGTCGGTTATTAATTATGGTAAAGAGTTACTGAATTATGAACAATGTGGTCACATGACCCCGGAGTATTCTCTCGTATTTTGCTTACCTGTGATAATGACTCCTAGTGAATTCGCCCGGGCGGTGATTATTTTATGATTCATTAAATAGAATTTCGATTAAACAAAGACTAAAATGGAAGAAGCAATATAAGAATATTTACTAACCTTCATTGAATTCGGGTCTTGTTGATTGCAAGATTCCTGTTATCGGAGGAACAAGGGTATCGGGATGTAATAAGGAATTATTAAAAAATATTTCCGAACCATTCAACCCAACTTGGATTAGAACTTTGTCGGTTTGATTCAAATTTTCATTAATTGTTTCATTAAAATCATTCCTTGAATCTTTATCTGGTTGTAATTTAGATTCAGTTTTATTAACTGTCGTAAAGTAATCGTGGAATATCTTTGTTCTTGTTGTTTCGTCGATTTTCAACTTTCCCATTGATTCATCTTGTACTTCTCTTATATCAATATTTGAGTGTTCATCCAAATTATCTTCTAGTTGTACGGAAGTTAAAGCTTCGCTATCATTTAATATTCTGTTAGTCGAATAATCTTTTAAATCATTAAAATCTGTACCAATCGTTTCATTATTATTATCATATCCTAGATTTAGAGTCATTGTAGAATTTTCTTTATGTGCCATAGTATCATCATTGTTTTCAATATTGTTGATTGTAGAAATGTCTTCTATTAAGTTATCCGTAAGCTCGTTGGAATTTGCTTTTTCTAAATAATTTGTTTCATTATAAAAATTCAAATGTTCAAAAGTATGATTTGTAAAATGATTTGATATATTTTCTGATAACATTTGTGTTTTTATTAAGGGAAGGAAGGTGATAAAAGTTGTAAGGAAAAGGATGTAAGATATTTTGAAGGTTAATTCACAAAGAGGTGAGCAGAGAAGGTTCAGGGAGGGGTTCCGATGCTGAGGTCGCCTCATGCCAGGCCGGCACTCAGGCACCGACTATTCTGAAAAAGAAAAAAATAGTGGTGTTTTATTATTTATGTATTGCTCTTAATCTGATCAAGGGCTGCTGGACGCTAGAGTCTCCTAGTTAGTTGTACATATGGAAATTATAACTATGGCCTAGTCACACCTAACTTGGGATAGGCTCCGAGCCTCAGTGGGGACATATAGTGAGCTGGTGATGATGTAAATTTTCAGTTTCTGACTAAGATGATTTTTCGAGAGATTTTCGATAAATTCAGAGAAAAACCAAAACGATGCGCGGTTGCGAGTTATTCAAATTTTATTACGTTACTAAATAATTCCACGTACCTTGACTTTTAGCAAATAAATATTTGTGGAGTAAATTAAGTCTTTTTTTTAAGGCTCATAAATTGAATTCAGTTTCATCAGCCTTCGTTCATTTATTTTCACCTCGCCTTTGATACGATAAATAAAGTTTTTACTCACTTTTGTTTTATTTAAATTCTACGCGGACGGAGTCGCGTAGAATGTTAGTAAAGTCTATATTTTACACTAGCTGTTGCCCACGATTTGGTCTGTGTGAATTTAAAAAATATGCCCTATGTAACTCAGCGATAACGCAGCTTTTAATAGGTGAAATAATTTGAAATCGTCCCAATAGTTTTTGTGTTATTTCAATTCATACAAATCTTTCCTCTGTAATATTAGTATAGACTATCTGTTCCCGTGCGACTTCATCCGCATGAAATAATAAAATTTTATTTTAATGTTTACATCTGACAAATTATCAATTACAAATGTCAAAATGACATGACATGATGACAACCTTGATGTTGGCAGCAAATTATGGTCTCTTTGCTGGCCCAATCTGCTGTGGGAGAGCCATAAACAAGAAATAAAATAGAATAGAATATGGTCTCTTTGCCACATTAGGATTTTTATCCAAAATATTTACCCCCTAAGTTTAATGGCGTTAAAATATAAAGCCTAAAGCGTGAAGCAAGTGTAGGGCTTTTTATTAAAAAAAGAATTATTCGAAAACATGCTGTAACTACTGAGATCTTAGGCAACAAAGTAGTGTGTGTTTACGCTTTATTATAATAGTATAGACAAACAGAGTTTCAAAAAAAATGTTGCAAACTGACATGACAACGTGTTTTATATGAATGTTTTAATAGTATACTCGCAAGGATATATATCGCAAGTCGAATCATTGAGTCATTACGTAACAATTTTAGTGTCAAGGTTTGTTTTGAATAAGATTATACCGAGTTGAATGCAGATTTCTATACATGACTTATTTTATTCACAAAAATTGCGTCCGTACAAGGCCATTTCAACTCCAAATTCCTCTTAACTTTTGTTATATTAAATTGTAAGCGGCATTCAAAAACGAAGTATATGAGATTATAATACTTGGTCGTTAGGAATTCTTTACGTTGGTTAAAAAAATAACTAATCTGTAAACAGTAAGTTCATACATTGAACCCCTTCCCATCCATTTGTTTTAAGACAGCTATAGCAAGGATGTGTTTGGAGCGGACGTCACACAATGTGGTAATGTCTTATTTCTGTGTGTCCCCTCCTCTGTCGACTATAAGTAGGCAAGGCATCTACAATGCAAATGTGTCTTATACATGTTACTAATATTATATCTTACTAATATTATAAATGCGAAAGTTTAGATCTATGGATGGATGGATAGATGTTTGTTAGCGTTTGTAGCCTAAACGGCTGAACGGATCTCCATGAAATTTGGCACAGGTTTAGAGCGTAGTCTGGAAGAACACATAGGCTTCTTTTTATCCCGGGAATAGTTACGGTTCCCGTGGGATTCATTAATTTAGTTTTTTAATGTTTATTCGATCATTCTGAAACGGTTCAACATATCTTATTGAAATTTGGCACAGATATAAAACAAAGTTTGGAGTACACATGGGATAAGCTTCATCCCCGAGAAATGTCCGGTTCCCGAGGGATAGGTAGCTTTTTGTAATTTATATAGTTCGTATGTTTTATAATACCACGCAGACGAAGTCGCGGGCAACAGCTCGTCTAGAATAACAAAAGAAATATAAGTGTAATTTGACTTTCATCATTGTAGTTGTCGATTTTCTAAAAAGCAAAACTTATTTCGGTTTTTAATAGCATTTAAATTGCTTGATCTTAACCACTTTACATGAGCAGCAATTAGATTTAGCGCCTCACTAAAAGCTTCAATTACGCGCTTTGTGTCGTAATTGTAGTCCTAGACTTGCGTTAATTTGACATATTTTATTACACAACTTACTGTAACTTTTATGAGGTTATAAAAATATTTGTAATATGTTTTCAAAGTGGGTAAGAAAAAGTAGTAGTTTTTTTAGCGGGGCACCTTTGACTAAACTATAGCACGACTGTTATGCGATTGTCAATTGTTTCGCAGCCAACTCAACTGTTTAGTTGCTCAACTAAAAATCATAGGCATCAAAGCGACACTAAATAGTTGTGCGATAATTTTGTCGAAGTTGTACTCGGCCCTAAGCTTGACTGATTATGAAATAGTAATTGTTTTTAAATGCGTACGTTAATGTAAATTCCACTAGAGCTCATTCGTTCGTTGTTTATTAATTCTTAAAGACTACCAGACAACAAAGGTTAAATAAACTGAATGGAAAATAACATAATTACGGAGGACTTATCACAAATTTCGGTGAGAATGTATTCGGAACGTGATATTCAGCGCTCGACTGCGCGTAATCAACCATATGCAAACTTTTTCGATGTTACGAATACGTTCTCGTTTACGCAAATTCGTAATAACCGTCAGAAGATTTAATTACGGACGTTGTACAGAAACTGATTTTCGAAGTCGGAGTCAACAATTTAAGTGTCAAAAACGCGGACAGTTAACCAACGCTACTGTAAAATGTTAATAACACAATTATGTGAACTTGAATGATTAAGGTATTAAGAAAATTGAATTTAAATTTACTCTTACCGATGATATTAAATTTTACTGGTAGTGGCCGCTTTAACATCTTCGCACTGAAGGGCCGACTCGTCCGATGAAATACTACGACCACACAGAAGACAGGCGTGAAGTTGTAGCAATTCCGCGTTTCGTCTGATGAGTGTAGTGCCGGAGGCCCAACTTTAATCCCTTTTCTTTCCCACCCTTTCTCTTATAAGAAAAGGATGGGAAGGGAACGTAGATTTGACGGTGGAGGAGATGCATAGGAAGGTGCAAAATCCTGTTTATGTGCAGTGCGTCTATTCCTTCGTCAATTAAGGGTAGGCAACGCATCCGTTATTGCGAATGTCTATGGGCAACGTTTCGCCATTTCGGCGGATTCATGTGGCCGCTTGCTCGTCTGCCACCTTATGTTATAAAAAAACAACTACAAGTACAATATAGTAAATGGGTCTCACTGTATTATCACCGAATCTTTCCCAGAAACGAACGGAAAAACGTTACCATTAAACAATGAAGTTTTACCTCTCTTATGACCGGTTTCCCAATTACTTTTAACCGTTCTTTAGTGTTTGGTTCGATAAATTCATGAAATATGTTTCCGAATTATGTAACTGGAATACTACGTTGGTACATCAACATAACACTAAGAACAATAGGTATTAAAATAAATGTAAACTTCAGAAACACAGCATAAATAATTTAAAAATAATTGACTTTCAAAACAACAATGATTTCTCGTATCTGAATTTTAATTTTATGTAGTTGTTAGATTTGACTCAAGGCTGCTACTGAAACGACATTTAAATATGTAACTATCTAAATGATAAGGCCACGTTTAACTCAAAATTACAATAATACTGGGTTTCAAAAACTCTAAAACAAATTTTATGAAGTTATCGAAACAAAAATTATCGAATGATTAAAAGTGACTGGGAAACCGACCATAAATAATGCCTGTTAGATTATAAGCGGTCTTTACGAAGTGTTTAAGTTTCGTTACATTATTCGGCCGTCAATTTAATTTTAGTTCGTCAATAACCTTGTTGTCCGCAAAAGGCACAAAATTCGGAAACAATCTTAATCGATGCGGAAGTTAATGCGATAAATGCAGCAAGTAATAAAGTATACGTAAACAGCAAATTGCAGTTTAATTACGATCGCTAACCGGTTGCATTAAAATTTCTTCAACTAAGGTCGTGACGGGACGGATTTTTTAGTATCGTAAAATTTCAAGACCAACTTGGCTGACGGCGAACTGGTGGGAATACCCCTTGATACTGTCAATATTGAAGTTAAAACGTTATATTGATGTCGGCGAAGTAGTGTGACGGTACATTCTTGATCCTTTAAAGTTTCATGTGTAACGTTTGGTTAATATTTGAGTGAATTTGTGTTTTGATTGTGTTATCAACTTTAAGAAAAAACTACTACGAGACAGAAAAAGTTTGGAGTAAAAGGTACGGAGTTTTCGTTAATAATTATATGTTAACCGTTTTAGAATATTTTTTCAGTTAGAATTTTATTCATAAAGTAGTAATGTTATTTTTAATTTATTTATCGTGGCATTTTCCTCTTCATTTTATCTCTCAAACAGCAAGCAAATGAAACAAACAAATGTCGTGCAAACACGTAATAAATAGACTCAAATGTGTGCCTTCAAAGCGAATGAACGCTCATGTTTTTTTCCTAACAGAATTATTTGTTTCATGTCTAAGGAAGAAAACACAAAGGGAAGAATAAATATTAAATTTTATATACCTCTGTAAATATGTAATTCGACCTGCTTACTATAAGAAATAATTAAAAAATCTCAGTAAATAATAAGATGTACTTAAATTAGTGTATCCCCGAACTGGGCTAAGTAAGGTTCAGCATGATTGTACACTGAAGTAATTCCTCGTAGACCTTACGCTAATACTGGAATAAAAACCTATTAGTTTTTTTTTAAATTCTATTTCAAGGACATAATTGTGGCCAGTCACCTATACACAATTTGATTTGATTAGAGTTTGGAATTAGGGAACTGAATATCGTTTATTTGTCTAATTTTCTTAAAGGTTATTTGACCGTTGGCAGCCCTAATTCTTCGTTTACTAGAGTTATCTGGACCGAGATCCTCTTACTTCGGTGGCAAAGTTTTCTATTCGTCGCGATCCAATTTGTGCAGCATTGTATGCTGGTTTATCCTGTCGTGCTTTCATCTAACTTCCAATTATTTCCCTTCAAGGAAAGCCGCTGGATTAATCTGTTTTTTAATTAAACGTTGATTAATACTGTATTTTCTTAACTAATAATTAAGAAGTTTTGAATGATTACTTAAAGTTTACGAGGTATGGTATGCTGCGAGATTATAACGTAAATAAAAAAATAATGAGATTTGGATAAGGATGACTACAAAAGCAGACTGAAAGTATGATAAGATAAGATGGATTGTCTGAAAGAAGGGAATATCAGATATGACATCTGAGAGATCTGTACGGAAAAGCACATACTGTGTTGACTCTCCGTAAAGAGTATTAATTGATTGATTATTAATTTAAAAAATATTTACACTCATTAACAACGTAATCATCACGAAAGAACGTTCGAAGTGTCGTGAAAAACCACACTTTTTTAGCATAAACATGTTACATTTCAATTAAATAAATTCCATTTGTGATTTGCACAACAATAGCCTAATAAAGTTAGTAGATAGATTGAGATTTATCTTGATTTACGCGTCCGTTAGATGTAACATTTATTAGACGAATTTAGTAGGAACTCTTTAAATATTCAACAAGCACGAACACAGTTCGCCAGGCAAACCGTTGACAGGAGGCATTCATGTTTAATGCAAGGATCTAAGCTGTATATTTAGAACATTATGTTCTTACAAAAATTATAGAATTAAAATATAATAAGTACAAAACTTTATGTAACACTAGCTTTCGCTCGCGACTTCGTCCGCGTGGAATTCAAAAAACAAAAATAAGTAGCTTATGTGTTCTTCCAGACTATCACCTACATTCATGCTAAATTTTATCGAGATCCGTTTAACGGTTAAGGCTACAAACTCTAACAAACATCCATCTATCCATCCATATAAACTTTCGCGTTTATAACATTACTAGCTTTCGCCCGCGACTCCGTCCGCGTGGTATTAAAAAAAAACAAAAGTAAGTAGCCTATATGTTTTTCTAGACTATGCTCTACATCTGTGCCAAATTTCATCTAGGTCCGTTTAGTCGTTTAGACTACAAACTCAAACAAACATCCATCCATCTATCCACCCATCCATCTAAACTTTCGCATTTATAACATTAGTAAGAAGTAAGATAGATTCTTGTATGGGAAATTTTTAAGCGAAATAAATCAACATTTCGATAACTCCTGATACGAAAGTTAAACGGATACTTGTTACCTTTTGCTGAAATTGTGGATATGGAGGGGCATTCGCTATTTTGGCGAACCCAAGTTAAACGCTTGCTCGTTTGTCAACTTAAATAAAAAAAAACTTTATAGTTTTCTACGTTGTATATATTTTGTAATTTAAAAACCTTTCCATTTACTTTTAAACCACGTTCTTTATTTAGTAACTATTTCGTACATTAATCCTTAGTTCCACATAGAGTTTTAAAGCTACAAAGAAAATGCATTAGACCGACTCTGTAGAATGGAGGACGACTTTATATTTGTCTAGTTTACAGATGAGAAAAGTATCTCATTTAAAATGGTACAATAATTTACAATCCGTCCCTGTAAGTTTAGTATGGAATTATGAATGGATTTTTTTTATAATATAAGGTGGCAAACGAGCAAGCGGCCACCTGAATCCACCGAAATGGAAAGCGACCACTGCTCATAAACATCCGTAATTGCACATGCGTTGCCTACCCTTAATTGACGGAGGAGGAGAACAACATAAAGGGGACATTTCCCCTTACTATGCGTCTCCTCCACCGTTAAATCCTCCTTTTCTTCCCATCCTTTCCTCTTAAGAAGGGTGGAAAGGGACAAAAATAATATTTACAACTTGAATGGTTCAAACTGAGTTGATTGTTGAAAAATTTACTCAAAATTATGTGTTAGATTGCATACGTGTTGTAAGTTACGATTTCCTAAAAGGCCGGCAACGCATCTGTAGTTCCTTTGGTGTTGCGGATGTCTATGGGCGTCGTTGACCACATCTGTGTTCCCGCCGCTCGTTTGCCCCTTCTCTTATATAAAAAAAGTTATCTAAATAAGGCGTCAAACAAGCAGCAATTATGATCTGGATGAAATTTGGCATAGATTTAGAGGATACTCTGGAAGAACACATATATTACTTTTGTTTTTTTTTGATTCTAGACAGACAGTGTCGCGGGCGAATGCTAGTTAGATTCTATTTATTTTCTATATATAGTATTTTAGACATAGACGTTGTTGGGAAATTGCTTGTAATAGAAAATGTAGTATTAATTTTAGGTGAATATTGCGGAGGCGCCATTCTGTCAGGAAGTGCATCCCCTCAAGGCATCTTAGAGAATGAGCAATTTCCTCTGAATTCTGTTACCTAGATATTTATGAGATGATTACATAACGGCTGAGGTTAACGCTAAACACTGATTAATAATGAACAAAATACCGAATTTAAAATTAGAAGTAAAAAAAAATGTGAGAAACGTATTCGTAAAATTATATTTGAATTGTGATATTGTAGGTTTGTTTGTATAAATAAATAAATAAAATAAATGAAAAATAAACATTAACAATATAGTAATGGTTTAGTTAAAAAATGGTAATTGCAATACGCTCAGTCTAAACTGAACAGTTGAAACTTTCAGTTAAAACTGTACGCGTGTAGGCATTTTACAGTTTAACTGTTCAATTTAAACAGAACTAAGCATTTATAGCGGTTTTATGAATATTTTTCTTATTAAAATATTAAATAATGTTGTATTTGTTTATTTAATTACAAAATATAAACATGTATTTACTGAATAGTCATCGTTTGCTCTGAAAAGGCACTTAGAGATTTGCTGGATTTTACATTCATATGTAAAAGATACATTGAAATAACTTTTGTTATAAATCGCACAACCGTTTTGCGATTGTCGATTGTTTCACACCACAGTCAACTGTTTAGTTGCACAATTAAAAATCGAGTAGTGTGCAAAACCTCTATATAAACTAATAGGAATCAAAGCAAGACTAAACAGTTGTGCGATAGTTTCGTTTCTGGTGTGCGCACGCTCTAATAATCTATACTTATTATAGTAAAGCGTAAACACACACTTCTTTGTTGCCTAAGATATCAGCAATTATAGCATATTTTTGAATAACTCTTTTTGTAATTAAAAGCTCTACACTTACGTCACGCTTTAGGCTATATATTTTCACGCTATTCAACTTAGGGGGTAAATATTTTGGATAAAAACCATAATGTAGGAAAGAGACCATAAGTTGCTGCCAACATCAAGGAAGCAAGATTGCTAAAGTTTGTCATGTCATGGCAGTTTGACAATTGCTGTTGATAATTTGACAAATGGAAACAATAAAATAAAATTTTCACAATTTCATGCGGATGAAACCACACGGGAACAGCTAGTTATAGATAAAAAATGCACTAAATAATAACCTCCTTTTGGGAAGACGGTTAAAAATTGTCGTAACATAGTACGCGATTGGAACGAAGTTGCATACGGTAGTGTACAAAGTAGTATCCCCTGACGAGTTTTGAAACACGACGTATTGCGGTTGTCTTAGTTAACATTCATGCCACATATCGATTTGTGGATAACATTGCATTGAATATTAGAACACCCTGTATACAAGGAATTCGTGTCAAAATTGACGTAATTGACAGGGACTGTATAGAGATTTTATGTTTTTTTTAAATTATTTATATTCTCTGTCCTTTTCAAGTATTCGTTAATGAATGGTGCACTGCCGCCTAGGAAGGAAGTTGACACACGCAAGAATGTCATAGACGACCACATTTAAATTCGCGCTAACGAAGTTTGCTGTTAACATCACAGCTTATAAAAAAAAAGTTGGAATCGATAGATTTATAGTTATAATTTATGAATTTAAAAAAAAAAAACACTTTTTTCTCAAATGAATAATGACCATAACAAATAATGAGAGTAAATAAATGTTTATTACTACTACAGCCGTACGTAATCGAATTGGATTTCGCTATTATTTCTGTCATCGCTAAATTTTCTACACTATAATCAATACTAGAATTGTTCTATAAATTAGTGAATAAGAAAAAAATAATTTTAGTTGAGTTTGTTAATTACTTAAACCGAATATCGATAGTTCAAAAATGTTCGCTGCGTGTTTCGTCACTACGATACCTGTCTATTAAGTATGGCATTTGCTTTCATACAAATTGAATTCGATAATTCATATGCGTCATTTATCAAACTAATCTATCGTATTTAGACAAACTGTAAATAAGATTAAATTTTTAAATGCGTCACATATTTCTGTT